ATTTTGGATGATACACTAAAGAAGAAATTGCACACCTTGATATGTAGAACTCAATCCAGCTATACCATTTGACCATGGTTGCCTACGTACCTACATCTGGGATCAAGCCACCGTAGTTCACTTCACCAGGTGAAAACTCCACCTCACCCTGACACCGCTCCGTAATGTCATTGCCCTCAAGGGAAATCAACATTGATTAATATTAAGCAAGTTCAAGCAATGCTTAAACTTGCCACCTCGTACCGCCTTGGTTAACATGTCTGCTGGGTTCTCATCACTGTGCATCTTCATAAGAGAAATATCACCATCTTCTATGACATCCCGCACAAAATGATATCTGACATTTATATGTTTGGTACGAGCATGATAAACTTGAATCTTAGCTAAGTGAATTGCACTTTGACTATCACAACACAAGTCTACACAATCTTGCTCAAACCCCAAATCATCTAAAAAACCCCACAGCCACAGTGCTTCCTTTACACCTTCTGTTATAGCCATATACTCAACTTCTATAGTAGAAATCGCTACTGTTGCTTATAGCATCGATCGCCAACTAACTGGAGCACCATGTATTTTGAACACATAACCAGTAGTAGATCGACATCTATCCAGATCACCAGCATGATCTGAATCTACAAATCCAGTAATCCGACATGTATTTCCACCAAAGCATAAACCAATATCAGTGGTTCCTTTCAAATATCTCAAGACCCATTTCACAGCTTCCCAATGTGCCTTCCCTGGGTTCGCCATGAACCTGCTGACCACACTGACTGCTAGTGAAATATCTGGATGTGTACACACCATGAAATACATCAGACTGCCGACTGCACTGGCATAAAGCACACGCCCCATGTACGTCTTATCTTCTGCTGTAGAAGGAGATTATCTACTAGAGATATTAAAATGTGGAGCCAATGGAGTCACCACTGACTTGGCATCTTGCATCCCGAACCTCGCAATGACCCGCTCAATGTAGCCTTTTTGGCTCAAGAACAATCGATGTTTTGTCCTCTCTCTTCTAATCTCCATACCCAATATTTTCTTGGTAATTCCCATGCCCTTCATCTCAAACTCTTTACGAAGTTGATATTTCAGCCTATCTATATCCACCTTGCTCTTCAAAGCAAAAAGCATATCATCCACATACAAAAGAAGATAAATATAATCACCTCCATGAAGCTTCCGCATGTACACACAACAATCATACAAACTTCTGGAGAACCCATGCTTCAACATGAAAGAGTTAAACCACTTGTACCACTGTTGAGGAGATTGCTTCAATCCATATAGTGATTTCCTCAAGCGACATACCTGACTTTCCTTATCAACAACCTTGAATCCATCAAGTTGATGCATATAAATTTCCTCATCCAATTCTCCGTGCAAGAAAGCGGTTTTTACATTGAGTCGTTCCAGCTCCAAATCACCATGAGCAACAATACTCAACAATACCTGGATGGAAGTGTGTTTCACTACTGGAGAAAATATCTCATTGTAGTCTACTCCCTCTCTTTGTGCAAACCCCTTTGCTACTAATCTTGCCTTGTACCTTGTACCACCAAGTTCGGAAGAATCCTCCTTTTTCTTATACACCCACTTACAACCAATAGCTTTCTTTCCTACGGGTAGTGGGACCACCTCCCACGTTTGGTTCTTTCGAAGAGACTCCATCTCTTCTTCCATAGCAGCCAACCAACTCTCATTATTGCCATTCTGAATATCTTCCTTGAAGGAGATCGACTCATCTTCCTCCATCGAGAGTGCATACTCAATCAAACTTGCATGTCCGTAGTGCTTCAATTCTTGTTCCTCTGGTTCGTGTACATTTTCTTGCTGAACCGTCTCATGTTCAATATCATCGTGAATACCACCATGATCTTCCTCGTGAACACGACTAGAACTTTGTTTGGTTTTAGGTTCTATATCAACTACTTGAGACTTGACCGTCTCAATGTCATCGCCATTTGGGACCGTAGCTTTTGAATAAGCTACATTGGAGTTCTCATCAAAAGTAACATCCCTGCTGATTATAAACTTGGAATCTTCCAAACACCAAAGACGATAGCCTTTCACACCTGATGCATATCCCAAGAATATTGCCTTATTGGCTCTTGCTTCAAGCTTTCCCTCACTAACATGATAATAGGCTGTGCACCCGAAGATTATGAGTTTCTCATAATCTGCATGTTCCCTTGACCATACCCTATAGGGTATATTTCCATCTAAAGACGTATGAGGAGACCGATTGATAATGTAGCAAGCTGTAGCAATCGACTCTGCCCACCATTCTCTGCCCAAACCAGCATATGATCGCATACACATTTATCTCTCTCGCAATGTACGATTCAGCCTTTCTGCGACTCCATTCTGCTGTGGTGTTTTTCTGACCGTCCAATGTCTAGCAATTCCTTCATCATCATAAGATTTCTTGAAGGCAACTTCTATATACTCTGTACCATTATCAGATCGAAGTGTCTTCAATTTCTTGCCTATGTTGTTCTCAACAATTGCTTTCCACTTCTTGAACATGTCAAATACTTCATTCTTATGTTTCAGAAAGTAAATCCAAACATACCTAGAATGAGACTGAAACAGGACCCCAAACATCTGTATGCACATAGTCTAAAATTCCTCTGCTTTTGTGTTTGCTTGATTTGAACTGAACCCGATGTGCTTTACCGTACACACAATGCTTACAAAAATCCATGCAAGGCTTCTTCAAGTTCTTCAACAAACCTTCTTTACCAAGCAGATCAAGACCCTTTTCAGACATATGCCCAAGCCGTCTATGCCATAACTGAGTGCTTTCACATGGGTCACCACCACTACCATTTGTTCCAACTGTTGTACCATCTGTCACAATTGTACCTGAAAGGACATAAAGGTTTCCTTGACGAATACCTTTCATTACAACCAAAGAACCACGAACAACCTTCTTTACTCCTTCCCATGTAACTATCTTACACCCACCGGAATCCAATACACCTTCAGAGATGAGATTCTTTCGCAACTCAGGAACATGTCTCACATCTAATAAAGTTCTAACCACTCCATCATGCATTTTGATTCTAACAGAACCGAGCCCAACCGTTTTGTAGGAATGGTTATGTCCCATTACCGCGGTTCCACCATCTATGCTCTTATAGTTAGTAAACCACTTCCTATTTGAGCACATATGGTACGAGCAACCTGAATCAATAATCCATTTACCAGAGATTTCTTCATCAGAAGTGGCAAAGTAACACTCATCATTGCTTTCTTCTCTCGAGGCATAACTAGCTTCTTGCTTCTCTTGGGCATTTCCTTTGTTGTTGTTGTTGTTCTTTTCTTTGTTCTATCCTACTCTCTTGTTAGAACAGTTTGCTTTGAAATGTCCAAGCTCGCCACACTTAAAACACCACCTTTCAACAAGAGTTCTAGATTTAGATCTAGACTTTCCTCCTTTGCCTTTTCCTCTCTCATTACTTCTACCTCTTGCAAACAATCCTTGTGCCTGGTCTTTGTTGCCACTAGCAGCAGTCATGTCACCACTTGCAATCTTTCGAAGATCATCCGCTAGAATTGACATTCTAGTCTCATCTATCGTAAGGCTATCACCCACAAGCATCAATGTTTGTACAAGATTCTCATAAGACTTTGGCAACGAAAGAAGTAGTAAAAGTGCTTGATCCTCATCTTCTACCTTCACATCAATGTCTTTTAAATATGATATACACCTATCAAATTTACTGATGTGTTCTCGGATTGAAGAACCTTCATCCATTTTGCAAGTAAACAATTTGGACTTTAAATAGATCCTGTTTGTTAGAGTTTTCGTCGTGAAGTTTGCCTCTAATTTTTCCCACACCGCAGCTGCCGATTCTTCATTACCAACCAAGAAAGCAACATCCCTTTCAAGGCATAAAATGATAGATGTTCGTGCTTCAAGATCTAACTCCTCCCAATCCTCATCGGACATATCTTTGTGCTTCTTTGTCTTACCCCCCCAAAGCCTTGTGTAACTTCTGTGAGATTAATAGATTTTTCATTTGCATCCTCCAATAAGAAAAATCACTCTTCCCATTGAACTTCTCTAATTCATACTTCCCAACTTTAACCGTTCCGCTTGTAGATGCCATTTACCCGCTTGTTTCAAAATCTGCCTATCTCTGGACTTTTATCGAACACCTTGTGTGCAGAACACCAAATACCACCTAAATACTTCAAATCTAAGCTCTACCACCTGAATTTGATATTAAGCTCTGATACCAATTGTTACTTCATCAATACAATGCAGAAAAATAATAAAACCTTGACAGCAATTAGTTTTTCTGTTTGTATTCCCGTTTTGCCCTTAGACCCAAGAACAAGCAATGACAATAACCAAGATAAAAGAAAGTAAATAGAGAATGAAGAACAATAGATTTAACGTGGTTCAGCAATAACTTGCTTACATCCACACGAAGAGAGAAAACTTTTGTATTAGGTTAAGAATTAATTTACCTCACTCTTTGTTCCCCTGTTACAAAGCTTACGTGCTTCTCTATTTACAACTGAAATCAGCATATAAGCAAATATACATGTGCCTACAAACATTGGGCTATTAACTGGGTCATTTAACCCAAAACAGTTGGGTTGACCCAAGTCAACTTAAGCTAAGATCTTTGGGCTGACCACTTACAGTAATTATGGCGATGAATTAGCTCTTTACTTTTGTTTCACAAGCTCTTTCATGGAAGTTCTATCCCCAACACTCAACCATGAAAGCCGTTAAGTAAATCAAAGCATTTTTCTGCTTCTAGACATTTTTGTACTAATGTGCGATGATATTCTTATTGAAATCCTTAAGATTTCTTAATTCTGAGATAATTTGTGAATATCAGTTCAAGATTGCTTCTTAAGCTTGCAGGTGGAAAGAGTCTTTCTAGAAGAGAGAGATAGCAACTAACACGAACAACAACAGATATCTTTCATCTTGTTCCTGTTTTTGTTTTCATTATTGTCCCCTTCATGGAGTTCTTACTTCTTATTTCTTGAAACTTTTCCCTAATATGTTGCCTTCTACCTTTCAAGACAAAATGAAAGAACGTGTTTTGGTTCATAACTTCATATCCTCTTCTAAACATCAATCTATCAACTTCATATCTTGATTTGATTTTGTTTGTAGGAAACATTGAAAAGGAGGTTAAATACAAGAATAGAATATGCAAAGTTTCTTCAAGATACTATTAAAGAGATGGCTAAAGAGGTCCAAAATATTCAAAGTGGAGAAATCAAGAAAACAGCAGTAGAAGATCTTGATGAGTTTTTCAGCAAGGTAAGCTTATAGTTGATACTTTAATCTTTATACTTTTGGGGATTGTTTCTTTTTTACTTAATCAGCTTAATCCATTAAGGGTAAAATGATCATTTGATCTCATCTCATCCATACAATTATTCTCTCTAGAAAAAGAAACGCCCCTTTAGTTCCATTTTGAAATATGCTTTTATTTACAAATAGATTTACAGGTCAGAAATTTTGGTGCTTTTTGAAATATGCTTTTTGGTGCTTCCGTTGCTAATAATAAAATTTTGGGATTTGCAAAGTTGTTCAATAACGAAATTACCCTCCATAATATCAGCAGGTCAGATTCTCAGTGAATTATGCATCAGTTTTTCTTGAATATGATATAATTTTCTCACTAAATTATTGATTTTTTTTTGTTTATTAGGCCTCGATTAGTGAATATGTACAAATATATGGGAATCCAACCTTTTGGAAAAAATGCTTACCTTCGTTACATGCTCAAAAAAAGACTTCAATGGTATATAAATTTATTCATCTTTTATTTATAAAAATCATGAAAATGTGGTCACTTTATTTACAATTTACACTTTTTATTTTTTATTTTTTGTAGGATTAAGAATGATGTCGATGCTATTTCTGAAGATGAACTTCGTGAAGATTGTTGATGAAAGGCGTCAACAAATTTTTTTTATTAAAAAAATTAATTTTTGGAAAAAAATTAATTTGGTTAAACTTTTTCTACAGCTTCGTGATTGGTTGGATTTGTCTCTTAATCAGTCTGTTGCATCTTCACTCATAATTCTTTCAAGGTAAATTGGATTTATTAATCATAATTCATTCCTTGACTCTTTCACATATGTATATTTGGCACGATGAGGAAAAAGTAAAACAATTAAACACTTTTTAAAGCAATAAGAAAACGTGAGACAATAATTCATTCCTTTTATTTGTTGCAGCAAGAAGAAAACGTGAATCACCACCATCATCACATTTTTAGCCAAACTAAACCACCACCCTTTACTCCCCCTTAAACCAAAATGAAATAAGAAAAAGAACGAACAGAACTTATACGTGTTTGATGGTTGCAACGACAGTTGCTGGTTATTGAGGTGTTTTTAAATTCATTCAATAACTTTTTGTTTTGAATTCTATATATATATATATATATATATATATATATATATATATATATATATATATATATATATATATATAATGTTAGTTTAATGAGTGGAATGCTTAGGTGAAAGAAATAATGGTCAATTATAGTTATATGTTTTGGGTTTATAATGAACTAATTTAACTAGCATGGCAACTATTTGAGTAAATGCTTATGTGAAAATTTTGTGGTAGATTTTGATTGCACAAACACCTCAAGTGGGTTTTTTCAATGAATAAGGTTATAAATTAAAAAGAAAAATAAATTATTTCTTACATATTTATTATTTGTTACCTTGTCTACTTATATTCTTAGGATTAATGTTATATATTAAATTTTTAATAATTAATGGTCTCCGATTTATCTCCCGCCTAGCCGATTAATCTATCAACCAATATCCACCGACTAGCTAATGTTGAACATTTTTATGACCTTGAAAGAGGCACATGTGAACTTTCTGCCATGAAAGAGAGACCTATGAACTTTCTGTTGTCCCATTGGAAGGAAGATCAACACTTAGATCAGCTGATGTTTAGTGTTTAGATGGACTGGAGGAAAACATGCATATGTGAATCTAACAGGGTTTCCCCTCTTGTGGGCTTGAGGAATGGAGTTTTCATTATGAGGCAAGTTGCTTTAAAAGCTGCATCAATCAAAATGACAAAACATGAGATAGTATACATGGAAAACAACACACATTTATATCATTTGAGTTTAATACTTTCGGTTTCCTTACGTCAGAAGTTGTGGAACTACTCAATAGAGTCCAACGGGTCATCCATAGTAATGTTATGACTCCAAAATCTATAGATGTTTTTTAAAAAACTTAGTTTTGTCATCCAAAAAAAAGTTACGGCACAACTTATTGCTCGTTTATCCACTATGTCTATATAAAACTTTCTTATTTATCATCCAAAAAAAGGTTATGGCACAGCTTACGTTAAACTATTTACAACCAACCGATTTGTAAAAAAACAAGTTAAACTAGATCATCGAACACTTTTAAACCAGTAAAAATGGCCTACTTGACCCTATAACGAGAATTTGTTAAAAAAAAATAATTACTTTGTACAAACTATAACTTAAAAAAAAAAAATTATCTATAACTTTCATCATTTTCTTTTATAATATCAAACACCTACAATCTCCGATATAATATATATTTTTACAGACCTTAACAAGTTGCTTTCAAATTTCAAATATAAACCTTTCGCATTTCTTTTATTCATTTGTCTATTATTTTGTCCAACGTATAGACATGTCATAATACTTTTTTAAGACATGTCCTCAAATAAATCCAATAAGAGGTTAAAGATGCGACTTATTGCCAAATTAAAAAATAAATACGTCGTTCACTCACCCACCACTTCCCGCCGGGCGGAGATACTTGTACTCCTCAGTCCTAACAACTATAAAACCCCATAATACAATCCAAAAAGGTACAACTGTGTGCAAGAAACAGACAAAAACAAAAGTTAACAACAGCATCTCCGATTGACTATGGACGGAAAAAGCTCTAACAACACTGCCGGAAAGCCTATTCGGTGCCGAGGTTAGTTCTTCACCCCATCCCCATGCTTCAGCACTCTAATTCCATGGTTTGAACTTGAAACGATCAAAAATTCTGTTTGAAAATGCTGAAACTCCATGTTTTCCTGAGAAATAAGCAATTATCTGTCGGAATTTTTGATTTCCTTGAAGAACTAATGGATGCATCTGCTGTTCACAGCTGCGATTGCTAGGAAACCAAGGGAGCCGCTGGTGATAGAGGAAGTGATAGTAGCCCCACCCAAACATCGCGAAGTTCGAATCAAAATCATATGCACTACACTTTGTTATAGCGATGTTACCTTTTGGAAATTGGAGGTATAGAGTCGTTGAACTTGAAATCAAATCACATTTTTATCAAATTCAAATTCATCCAGTGTTTTGTTGATGTTAAATTGTTAATTAACCATTGTTGTTTTCTCTTGAAGCATCCTCCTGCTATTTTCCCTAGAATACTCGGTCATGAAGCAATGGGGTAAGAATTCATCGAAATTAGTAATCTGCGATTGTCAAATCTTCTTCTTTTTTGGGAAATTTTAACCTGAAATCAGATTATACTCATCCTGTTTTCCTCCATCAAAGGATTGTAGAGAGTGTTGGTGAAGGTGTACATGAAGTTGTTGAAGGCGACACTGTGATCCCAATCTTTTTGCCCGATTGTGGTGAATGTACAGATTGTTTGTCCCAAAAAAGCAACCTATGTACAAAATTTCCTTTCAAAGTTTCCCCTTGGATCGATAGAGAAGAAACAAGCAGATTCACAGACATGAATGGAGAAACTTTATACCATTTCTTGTTCGTATCAAGCTTCAGTGAATACACAGTGGTTGACATTGCTCACATAACTAAAATTGATCCAGCAACCCCACCAAATAGAGCTTGCCTCTTAAGTTGTGGTGTATCAACTGGTAATTAAATTGTCTTCCTTTTTATTCACTATTTACTATGTTTAATTATGACAAATTGATAACAAAATTGATATGCAAATTATATTTTCAGGGGTTGGTGCTGCTTGGAAAACAGCAAATGTTGAAGCTGGTAGTACAGTTGCTATATTTGGACTTGGGGCAATTGGACTAGCGGTATAATTATAAGTTTATAATCTGTTTTATAATTTATATATATTTAAAACTTTTGCACAAATTACATTAAAAAAAAAAACTATATATTTTGAGCAATTTTTCTGTTTTATCACTTTACAGGTTGCTGAGGGAGCAAGGCTATGTGGAGCTAAGAGGATCATTGGTGTTGATGTGAATCAAGACAAGTTTGAAATAGGTGATTTAGAAAAAAAAAATCTTTAATAAAATATAGAAGTTTTTTTTTGCATGGTTTCGTTTATTACATTGATAATTTTTTATTTATTGTCAGGAAAGAAATTCGGAGTTACTGATTTTGTAAACTCACGTAACATTGGGGACAAAACTGCCAGCCAGGTAATTTAATACTTTATTTTAAAATTAAGATTTTAAATTCATAATTAAAATTTTTATAATATTAAAAAAATGTTTCTTGAAACAGGTGATAATTGAGATGACTGGTGGAGGTGCAGATTATTGCTTTGAGTGTGTTGGTTTGACTTCTCTTGTGCATGAAGCTTATGCTGCTTCTAGAAAGGTCTAATTGTTTTCTATATTTTTATATTTTGAGACATGAAATTACATTTTTGGACATTACATAAAGTTTCTTTATCTTTGATTATGTGGATGTCAATCTTTTAGGGATGGGGGAAAACGGTTGTGTTGGGAGTTGACCAACCAGGGGCAATGTTGTCTTTTAGTTCTTTTGAGGTGCTTCACAGTGGAAAAACTCTAATGGGTTCACTTTTTGGAGGTCTAAAACCGAAATCTGATATTCCAATTCTTATAAAACGTTACATGGATAAGGTATAAGCAAAATCTTGACTTTTCAAACTTTTTTGAATGGAATCTAAGAATTGTTTATATTTTTTAGGAACTACAACTTGATGAATTTGTGACACATGAGGTTGAGTTTGATGATATCAACAAGGCTTTTGAGTTGCTTCTTCAAGGGAAGAGCTTAAGGTGTGTGATTTGGATGAAGAAATGACCAAAAGTCATGAATTGGTCATGGTTTTTTTCATAAGTATGAGTTAACTATTTATATTTGTGTTCATGACTATGTATAACCCAAAATTTATAAAAAAATAAAAATAAATATATAACCATGAGTTGGGAAAAACATATTTGAAGAGTTTATCTTGAAATTCGGGGAGATTTCACCTTAAAACAAAGGATAGATTCGTATTAGAAAACCACATAAAAACCCTAAAAGGGTTTTTGGAATGTTTGATTTTTTTTTTTTGTGCAATTTAATATGGCTTGTTTAATTCATTGTTTTTTGTGAACTTTTAGCTCTTTTTTTTTAAATAAATAAAATAATTGTAAAAGATTTTATTTTAAACAAAAAATTTATAATAAAAAATTACTTCAAATATATATTGAGAACGTTTAAAAACTTATAGTTTAGCTTTTTTATTGTATGTTATTTTAAAAAGAGTAATCTTTATAAATGGTGCTTATGGTTTCTAGGAATATCAAGTTTATTCCTTAACTTTTTTTCTTATGGAAAGTCCCTATGCTTTTAATTTCTATGGTGGTTGATCCCTCATATGTAAGAACTTAGTTTTTTTTTTTTTTACCTTTCTTAATTTCGTTTACATTTTCTTTTGATCAATTTTATATTTAAAATAAAAATAAATAAAATAAAATAAAATAAATACACTTACCCTACCTCATCCTACCCTACCTTATCGGACCTGCACCACCACTGACTATTCGTTACTAAGCCACAATCATCAACCCACTGTCGCCACCAGCTTCAAAAAACACTGCAACCTCCACCATCCTCACCATCATTTAATATCATCATCCATCATCACCATCACAAAACCACTGTGCACCACTATTACCACCATTGTCAACCATCATCCCAACTGTTTATCACTGTTAAACACCATCACCATCCACCTTGTCCACATATTTCCCCTCTTGTTGTTCTTCACTTTCTTGTTGTTCTTCACTTTCTTTACTTAATCAGACCTACAAATCAAAAAAACCTAGAAAATTTTCGCTATGTAAATCCAACAGATACTGAAAAGGAAAAACCCTTGGTTCTTTTTTGAGGTCGCCTTTTTTTTTTTTAATTCCATTGGTTCACTCTCCACAACCTGCAAGTATCACCCCAAAATCTAGTGTATAGTGTGTGTGTTCTCATTCAACAACAAAAGAATAATCCCCTCCTTGAATTGATTCCCATTTCTTCTTGAATCAATATAAAGATTTCTGATCGTATTCTTTTGGTTGTGTGTGTATCTAGGTTGTAGAAACAAATCATAGCCCCACCCCGCTTTTCATTCTCCAATTTTATGACAAATCGGTAAAA